GGTTGAGCATGCTTATCATAGAGTACATGCAATAAATCCGTGAAGCAATTTCTAACTATTTAGGGCGTAACAATAGAGTGCAAACAGTAAAACCGTGAAACTTTAATGATTAAAACAAGATTGCACAAATTTGTACAAATTCATTTGTTTTCTATTGTTTGAATCGCACTAATTAGTACAATATTATAGACTAATTACGATTTTGAGACGGCAATACCACAAAATATTGACGGCTAGTTGGGAGAAAATATATTCCGTAATGTGGCGGAGTCGCGTAGCGACGGACTCAAAATCGTAATTATTTTGTATCGCGATTCCTGTAATTTTTTGGGGTTTTTTTTGCATGAAAATGTTCAGTTTTCATGATGAAACAATAAATTCTCTCAACGTGAAAATTCCTGTTTCTATGACAATAATCGATCACGCAAGCACTTGCCATGCAGTCGTTTTGAACAGAAAATTTTTTGTACTTTCAAAAACGTAGCAAGAAAACTTGAAAGAGATGTAAAACGTATATGTTTTTGAAAGCAACTTGGCCTGAGGACGACTTGGAGCTTCCAAATTTTCAAATTTCATCTCAAATTACTACTCCTTCCGGTTCAAAGCCTTTAAATACCATATCAAAGTCATCAAATGTCACAGCTCGTAACTCAGCTGCCTCTGTTTCTGTCAACGAAGAATTAATGGGCGACAAAAAGCGAAAATCTAGCATTGTTGTTCTTGAGGATGATGAAATTGAAGAATTTGAAGCAAACATAACTGCTGCAAATACCAAAAAAGGGACTGAAGTGGCCATTCGCCGCTTTGAAGCATGGTATCGTGAACGGTACAATAAGGATGTAAACTTGTCAGATGTAAACAAAACCACAGCCAGCTACCTCTTAAAGCATTTTTTCTTAGAGATAAGAGACACCAGAAAAGACCGAGTTGGGCAGGAATACGAACCATCTACACTACAAACCTACAGGAATGGTTTGAGGCGATATTTTCTAGAAAGAAAAACAGGAGAAAAGTTTGACATAGGCGAGGATGAAGATCTCAAGAAAAAGCTAGCATCAAAGAAAAAAGACCTGAAAGCTCAAAGCAAAGGCAACAGACCGAATGCAGCTCATCCCTTGGATGTCACACAAATCGAAAAGTTGTGGGAGAGCGGAGCGGTTGGCATAAAAACCCCAAGACAGCTTTTGCATTTAGTTTGGTGGAATAGCACCCGCATGCTGGGAATGAGAGGACGCCAAGAGCAGTTAAATTGTCAAGTTGGAGACTTTGTCAATAGAGGGACCTTCTATGAATACACTGAGCGGTCTACAAAGATTGCAACAAATAGTAAAATGATTTTGATGGTCATGCATTTTATTCACTCAGTAAACAAACATAGGAGGCTGACAACTTTCTATTTTTCACCTCACTGAACAAGGCAAATCCATGTCTATTGTGTTTCTTTGTCTTCATTTAAGCACTGCCTGTCAAAAACGTTTGATGGAAATACAAAAGGTATATATATATAAGTATATATATTGAAAACGCAGAATTTTTCTGAACGGGTGTATATATAAAATATACACATATCCAATGAGATTCATAAAATGTTTTTAGTTGTCTGATGAATCATTATTCATATTCTTGTAATTAACATTCTAGCAAATGTGGGCAGAAAAGATCAATGAACGGATATGGAATCTTAAAAGGCTGGCAATGAGAAATGAAAAGAAAAAGCTAAAAGATGAAGGAGTAGATGTGTCTAAAGGCAAGCCAGGGCGAAAAGGAAAAAAGAACGGATCATCTTCAGAGCTGCCTATTATCCAAGGTGAAACTAAGGACACATTAGAGAGTTAAAGGCTGAAACTCTTGAAATTATGGAACACCTCTCCTAGAGATGCCTAGAACATCAAGACTCTAATGGAAAAGATATTCCCACTAAGGAGGTCACTCATTCTCAAAGGAGATGTACGCCTATGGAAGATACTGGGGGATTATCCTACTTTTCAGGATGCAAAGGGAAATTAGGTATATGAATTCAATTAGCTCTATGATATTACCCCTGCACACTATTTCCATGCAATGCCTGGATAGTGACATTTGTTTTTTTTAATTTTCATCTTCATATAGCTGACAGTAGCAAATAAATTTTTCTGTCACATATACCATTGCTTTAGTGTTAAATTATTCTTATCGTTTAATTATTCGTAATGCAACTAATTAAGTATACATTTTGAAAATTCTAGCTGAAAGCAGAGCTGGGAAGAATCCTTGGAAATCCAAACATTGTCAAGGACAYGAAAGAAACATGGCATATGAAGAAGCCTGCGATTTTGTCCGCTCTGAAAAGCGAAAAAAAGCAGCAAATACGTTCATTACTGTTTTCCCTGGAAGATTGTGATCCAGCAGATGAAAAAGGTAAAAGCAACAATAATTATTTGTTTTCTGCAACAATAAAAGTGACAACAGAAATGAACTGTGCCCAAAAGGAATTGACAATATGCCAATCCTATAATCTCATAAATCAAGGAGTTTCTTCTACCTTAATGTGAAATTTATTATCCAAGCTTTCGAACCTCTTGAATGAATGAAATTACGAATCTTAAGTCAGTTATACTATGGCGAGTAATTCTAAAGCGCACTCTAGATGCTAACTATCTTGGTGTTTGTTTGTTTGTTTTTTTTCTTCCAATAA